ACTCGCAAGAATAATAATATGTATGTAAACCCGTCGGCAAGATGAAAAGTCGCGCGCGCGTGCTCAGCGTTCGCACGCACGCGATCCCAAGACGTTCCATGGCCACAACATGCTTCCAGGAATGCCTCAGGCCACGGACGATAACGTCAAGAGGACCCAGGATGATGCCACCCCATCGCGATCCCGCCATGGATTCTGGACCGTCTCAGGCCGACTCGCAGATGACGCAACACATGAGCAACGCGTGACGCCGAGATGGCCCGATGGCAACAAGATGGGTCCAAGCGCACCCAGGGTGGCCTCATAATGACCACGCGATGGTTGCGTGATCCAAACATGACCAGGATATGATCTCAAGATGACCTCAAGACGACACCAACACGGCAGTAATACTGCAACTTATGAGCCCCATCTTACTTCGAGCCGATCCCAGCATGGTGGGATCCGTGAACGGCCCGGGATTTTGGTCTACCCCATTTTTTATGGGTGGGATTTTGATCGTCCTGAACTAAACTTATAATATTAAAGCGGAATAGGCCAGGCGGGATCCCGCCCGGCCCACGGAGGAAGACAACATTTGCTAGGCTTCTACGGGGGTACGGGGTTCGGAAGGGGCGTCGTTTACTTCCGCTGACATTGGCAAGCCTTCCGGCGGCCTTCCCCCGTCTTCCGCCTCGCTTTACTTCCGTCGACTTCCGCCGGCCAGCGTCGTGATGAAAATTCCAGGAACTTTCATTGGGCCGATGTAAAGGGGCTCTTTGGGACCCCTTGCGGGGTCAGTTGGTATCCAAAAGGGGCCCTGAAGGGCTCCTCTAGGGCCCTTTTCTCCACCCCCCAGTTGGGTCACCACATGCATCGGCCATTCACCGCCCACCAAACCAGCCCAACCCAACCCGACGGCCCCGATTTGCCCTCCCTTTCCAGTGGGGGGGTGTCGGGGAACATATGGGCAGAAACACATACATGAAGCCCGTACCCCCCACCCCAGCCCGAAATTCGGATCTTCGGGTTGGGTTGGGGTGGTCTGGTAGGAAGTCGCCCATGACCACCCGCCCGAGGGCCTGTGGGGATAGGCGTCATGAAGGACCATGGCGTCGGGGGTCTGGGAGCCTGGCCGCAGCAGGCATACAGTGGGGGCCCATGCCAAGGAAACACCCTGCTGGCCTCCAGGGTGCCCTGGGCTTCTTGGGTTTCGCTGGTTGTGCGATGGAAAGCGTGACGCTCCCACGCCAAAAATCAGCGGACGTCCTGGGGTCTCAGGGTTGGGCTTCCTGTGGGAAGGCTTCTCGTGGACTGACCTGCACTGTAGACCAGGACAGGCCCTCCCGGTGTCGGCAAGGTCTCCCGGATGGGTTCCGAGCAGAGAAGGGCCGGAGGATCGCGCCGCATCGCTGATGCGTCGGCGATGCGGCTCGGTGTGGATCCGATTCTCTCCGCGCTGACGTCGCCGATGCATCGCCGAGGTCGCCGATGCAAGGCCGATGCACCGCCGACGCATCGGCGATGCTTCGCGATCCTCCGACCCCATCCACGCGGGCCCCATTCAGGAGCCCTCCTGGTGTCGGCCAGGGGGCAGGAGTGCGTATGCCCCATGGGTGGTGTGCTGGTAGCTTCTGCGCAACCCGGTCCGAGCCCGACCCGCGCCGTGACGAGATCGCTCACCAGCCTGGAACATATCCCTATCCCTATGCTGGGATAGGGATACGGTCGAGGCTGGTAAATCACAGCGGGCGGTGCTTCGGTGCCCTGCCCTGGCTGGCAGATCGACCCGGTGTGGCAGAGAGCCTCGCAGGCAGATTCGGTCGAGGGTGCCCAGCGTCTCGGCGTCATCATCTGCCATGGCGGCGGAGGCTCGGCTCCTGGCCTGGTCCGAGTTTCTGAACAAGCGTCGGGGGGGCGGCATCCCCGCTGGCAGCCCCACAGCGACCCCCGTCGCGGGCAGCCACCGCGCGCCGAAGGCGCTCCGACCCCCGTCGCGGCGCGACGACGAGGCGAGGTTGACCCCCGTCGGGGGGGTACATCCCCGCGCGTGTTAAGAAGCCCAGAGTCGGCTAGGGGACCTCGTTATGCACCGATCCGAGGCTCAGGAGGTGCCTGGCCAGGATGTGTTCTGGTGTGCGGTTGGCAGTTCCCCAGAGGTGGTGCCAGAGGTGGTCTTGGACCAGCTCACATACACCTTGGCCTGCGCGGCGGGAAGGCAGTGCCGCCTTCGCACTCTGCGCCGCCTGTCAGAGTTTGCCTATCTGCTTCAGTCAGGAAGCGAGAAGCCTCGCAAGAGAGGACCGAGGCAGCCTGAGGTATGTCGGAAGAGAGACTCGACTGATACTTCTAGTGCGGATCCTACCCGATCCTCGAGCTGTGAGTTCCCCGACACAGGGAGCAGGCGGTGGGGCAGGTATGGGAGGCCCAGGATCCTTGGCGGCCCTTGTTCCCCCCCCCCACACGAGTGCAGAAGTTGAGTATCCCAGTCAGGCTTCGCCCAAGGGATTCCTACTCCGCCCGAGGGCCAGTGGCCGATCCATCCTCTGGTTGCACCTGGTCTGTGGGCCATCTGGGAGCTCTCGGGGCATTCGGTCTTTTCTTATTCCATCTAGGGACTGAACCTGATCCTTCATTGCTTTGCTGGCCTTTGCTTCGCTTCGCTTCGCTTTACATCTGACCGCTTTGTGTTGCATTGCATGGTCTTGCTGGGAATTGCGTTGCTCAGCAGTCTATTGCCATGCGTCTCTTTGCTTTGAGCTGGTTTACCTGGCCTTGTTTTGCTTTGCGTTGCTTGAATGCACGACAGTGCTGTGGTTTGCACTTATAGCGTTGCCTTACTTGGCTTCGCACCGCATTGCGTTGTTTTGCGCTGCTTCGAGTTGCATGGCATCGATCTTTGTCGCTCGAGCTACCGTGTCTGGTTTTGCATGGCTTCGATTTGCAGTACATTGCATTCTTCACGTTGCCTAGACCTTGTTTGTGATTGAATGTGCACTGCTATTGGCCGCAATATGCTATATTGCTGTGTGCTGCATTGCGTTCGAACTCGTTTACATTCCATTACTTTGATCTGATGTGCTCCGTCCCCTTCCGCCACAGCATGGCCTGCCTGCATGGCTGGGTTGAATGATTGTTTGGGTTGTTTGATTGGTCGGCCTAATAGTTGTGTGGTTTTCATGTCTGCTGGTTGACTGGTTGTCCGACTGCCTTGTTAATAGGTAGTACAGCTGATTGATTTGTTGGTTGGCAGGCTGCCTGGCTCGTTGGATGGCTCTCTGATTGGTTGGCAGATCTACGTTTTTAGAGGGCGTCGCGGTCTCAAGAGTGCGGATCTATCGCTTTTGTGAGAGATGTTGGCCTCAGGAATTTAGTCAACCCGCGTAGGAAGGAGGGGCAACCTCCCCAAGGTACCCTTGCATCCTTGCCTCCTCGGTCCATCCTTGGCCGCTTTGGTTGGCCGCGCGTCGCTCGAAAAGCCCCGAAATGGGCGTCCAAGGCCTTGCATCCTTACCGCGCATCCGTATGATACGGGCCGACTGTAGATGGGGTCGGAGAATCGCGCCACATCGCCGATGCATCGACGATGCGGCTCGATGCGGAGCCCGATTTGCTTCACGCCGACGTCGCCGATGCGTCGCCAGCGTCGCCGGTGCATCGCCAATGCGGTACGACCCTCTGGCCCCATCTACTCCGACCCCATTTAGGAGGCCTCTAATACACCAGTCTTTGGTCAGGATCGGCTCGAGCCAGCATCGGCGAGGTAGTCGGCTGCTGGCGGCACGCACACGGGGGTAGGGGGAGGGTGGAAGGCTTCTTAGAAGGAGGCTGCTTCTTAGATGGCGCCGGCCTTACATCTAGAGATAAGGCCCGCGCCTTCCAAGAAGCAGGGGTGCCTCCAAGAAGCCTTCCCCCCTCCCCCTACCCCCCTCTGCGCGCCGCCAATCATCTTCGCGTCCCGGGGGTGGCCCAGCGATCTGGAGGTCGACCAAGAACACAACGTCCCGCCTGACGCCCTCGGGCATCTTCTGACCCGGGCCCATCCACATCTGGGCCAGTCAGGCCTTGCAGAGTCCTGAAAGATCATGCAAGATCCTGCCGGCTCCTGCACCCAAACCTTGGGGGCAGAGCACCCCTGGCTCTGCAGGATCCTGCAGGATCCGGGGTTCTGACGAGCCCCCGTTTGCATTCACCCCTGTCCCTTGAGCCCCGACGGACGCCAACCCCCCCGAGCAAGGGTCGGCGACGCGCAGAGGGGGGTAGGGGGAGGGGGGAAGGCTTCTGAAGAGCACCCCTGCTTCTTGGAAGGCGCGGGCCTCCTCTATAGACGTTCGGCCGCGGCCTTCTAAGAAGCAGGGGTGCTTCTAAGAAGCCTTCCCCCCTCCCCCTACAGTCGGGGCCCTGAAGAAGGAACCCTTTTCGTTGGGGAGGGGCTCCGCGTTCCTGAAGTGTTTCACAGCTTGCCTCGGGCTTTCCTTAGGTTTGCGATAGCAAATCGAAGTTTAACTTATGGAAAACAGGGGCCTCGTTCCTTATTTAGGGTTCCTTAGGTCAACGCCCCGACTGTACCCCCTCTTGCGCGCCGCCAAAAGAGCCTGCGGGAGCCTCTGCAGGAGATCCTGCAGGCTCCGGCGCCCTGCGCGCGGCCCGGCGCTGGGCGCCCCCCGACCAGCTGCTGGGAAAGAAACACACAGACACAAGTAATCGTCGATTCCCAGGAAAGTACGGGAAAGTATGGGAAGTGGGGGGGAAGACAGAAACCCAGAAACTATGGTAAAATATGGGGAATTCTTCCATTTGTGTGTATTTATTTGTGTGTCTCAGGGCCCCCAAAGACCAGCTGCTCGGGACACCGAGCCCCGCCGCGCGGCGGCGCCCTCGCCGGGCGCGGCGGACCTCGGCGCCCGCTGCCTCGGACGGCTCGGCGGCCGTCCCTCACACCCCGGCAAGCCACCCCAAAGCCAAGCCCGAAGGCCCGAGTTTGTCCCCATTTCCAGGGGGGGGAGGGTCCGGGAGCCTCGGCAAAACACACATATGGAGCTCATACCCCCCCCCCCACCCGAAGTTCGGGTCTTCGGGTTGGGCTGGTGTGGTCTGGCAGGTGGTCACCGTCCGCGGTGCGCCGGAGGGCGCCTCCTGGCCGCCCTGGGCGCCCTCTTGAGGTGTGCTCGGCAGGTCGCAGAGAGGGGCTTGGCATCGCTCGGACGTGTGCATTTTTCCTTCGGCGAGGGCCATCGAGGAGCATCCCTGATGATTTGGCGAAAAAACCACGCACGAAAACCGAAACAAAACACAGGGAATGGACGTCCGTGCGATGCCCAGGGGGCTGGGGAGGGGGCGCTGCGCCCGCTGCCCTGGACGGCTCGACGTCCGTCCCCGTCAGCGGTGCGCCAGGACGCGCCTCCTGGCCTCCCCGGATGCCTTCTTGAGGTGTGCTGGTCATGTCTGGGCCTCCCAGATGGGGTCGGAGTAGATGGGGTCGGAGGATCGCGCCGCATCGACGATGCATCGGCGATGCGGCTCGATGTGGAGCCCAATTTCCTCCACGCCGATGTTGCCGATGCATCACCCACGTCGACGGTGCATCGCCTGTGCATCGCCGATGCATCGCCGATGTATCGCCGATGCCCTCATGAGGTGTGCTGGTCCTTGTTATCGGGGTCGGCAAAGAGGAGGGTGATGACTAGGGGGGTGGATAACATGGCGGGGGCCATGATATCTCCCCAGATTTCACGGCGCCTCTTCGTATTTCAATACGTCCCCGCCCCCCCCCTGGGCCGCGCACATGCCGCTGGCCATGATTTGCGCCCCCCCCTCTTGGACGCCCACCTCTTGGCCGCCCCCAATGTTAGGGAGGTCATGGGGCGAGGGCAGGGATGGGGGGGTGCGAAGAGAAGGGAGGGGGGAAGCGGGCGGTGACATGCGATTCAGGCGATGGTCAATAGGCAGGAATACTCCCGTCGTTTGGGGCCATCTTGCAGCTTTTGGGCAGCGTGACCTCCCAACCGCGCGCCCAGAGCCTCACGGGAAAAACCGCGCGACGTACCACGAGAGCGCCAGGGAATTATCCTGACTCGAGGCTAGTTTTTTTTTTTTTTTTTTGGGGGGGGGGGGGGGGGGGCGGCGTTCTTTTGTATGTTTCGAGAATTAGCAGTCGTCAGTGTTGAGAGTCATATTAGGACTCTAATTCGTGTCTGCGGCGCGGCAGCGGATAATCACAGGAGGTCCTCAGTTTTGAGGACCCCCTTACTGTTTCTTTCGGCTTAGAGTAGATTCGCCCCTCCTGCTCCTCCTCCTGCTCCTCCTCGTGGTCGCCATCGTATTCGTCGTCGTCGTCGTCGTCCTCGTCGCGGCAAAGATTATTATCCCTCTACTGTTGGGCGGGCTGGATCATGTGTTGTTGTTATTGTTGATGTTGATGTTGTTGTTGTTGTTGTTGTTGTTGTTGTTGTTGTTGTTGTTGTTGTTGTTGCTACTGTTGTTGTTTTTCTTACACTCTGTGTTGGGATACCCCACACGCGAGAGGATTCGTGATCACCTTCTCATGCATACGAAATGAATCAGCTATAGCGAGTGTAGCCGTGAGTGTAGTCGTGATTGGAATCGTGATTGTAGTCGCGATTGTAGCTGTGATCGTAGTTGTGGTTGTGGTCATAAATGTAGTCGTAATCGTAGTCGTCGCCGTCGCCGCGGCGGGTAGTATTTTCCCTCTATTGTTGGGCGGACTGGATCATGTTGGTTTTGTTTCTCTTAGGGAGCAATGTATGACTGGCTATCCTACACGCGAAGAGATACGTGATCATCTTCTCATGAGTACTGCAGTAGGACTCAGTGGTGTGGCTTGTAGTCGTGACTTTAGTCGTGGTTGCAATCAAGCTTGTAATCGTGATGATTGTCGTAGTCGTAACCGTAGTCGTGGCTGTAGTCGCAATCGCAGTCGTATTCGTCGTCATGCCGCGGTCTTAGTTGTATTCGTAGTTGTAGTCATAGTCAACGTCGTCGTCGTTGTTCTGTGGCGGGTGCCGCGGAGAAACAATTCTAACTCCCACTAATCGCTCCCTCCCTCCCTCCCTCCCTCCCTCCCCCTCCTCATTTCTTTTTCCCCTTCCCTCCCACCTACTCCCTTCTCCCTCCTCTGTCCTCCTTTTCGTTTTCCTCCTCCCTCCTCCTCCTCCTCCTCCTCCTCTTCCTTTTCCTCCTCCTCCTCCTCCTTTCCTCCTCTTTTCCTCCTCCTCCTCCTCCTCCTCCTCCTCCTCCTCCTCCTCCTCCTCCTCCCCTCCCGCAAGCTGACCCCCCCCCGCGGGACACCAGGCCTGCCGCCTCGCGCGACGCGCTGAGCCGCGTGCTGCAGCTCGTGGCTGGGCGCGGGGCCCGGCTGTGCCTGCGGGCGCGGGGAGCCCAGGGAGGGTCCAAAGCCCCAGTCCTGGAAGGCGACGGTTCGAGGAGGAGGAGGAGGAGGAGGAGGAGGAGGAGGACCATCACAGGCTGAAGAGGAAGGCTAGGGTTAGGCCGACCCGACCCTAACCGAAACCTTGGGATTACATCCGCTCTCCCCTTACGCCCTTCATCGACCCTACATCGCCGCCCCTTCCTTGAGGAGCTGGGCTGCAGGGAAGGGCTGGGAAAGTCGGGGGCGGGCCTTCATACTGTCCTTCGGATGACGGCCGCCTGACACCCGAGACCACGCACCTTCAGAGAACTTGCTTCTGAAGCGCTCACTACATTCACCTCTGAGTCCTTTGAGGTTGCTCTCCGAAAAACGGCCGCACCTCTTGCAGATTATGAGAGAGGACTCGACATCGTGATAATCGCAAATCAACAGTCGGTGCTTCCTGGGCTCTCTAATTAACTGGGACAGCGCAGCAGAATTGCCAGGGCACACTTCTCGCGAACGGGCTTGGCGGGTGCTGTCGGTGCGGGCACGAGTGTGACACGCTAAGCACAGCCAGTGGTTGTTGATCCAGCCCCACTGGTGGCGAGCCAAAACCTGAGGGTTACGGCGGGCCGCGCGGGCCCGCCGAGGAAGACCCTCAGGGGGCTGAGGGGGTGGGGTTCAGTCTTTGACCGCACCCGCGGCTCCAACAGGGGGGTTGAGGCTCTGGGGAGGCTTCTCGTAGGCCTTCTTCCCCGTCCTCGGGGCGAGGGCCTGCCGCAGGGAGAGCGCCTCCGCTGCATACTTCAAAAGTCTCTGTACTCTACTGCGGGTTTCTTTATACTACTCAATCTCCATCTGGGACGGGGCGGGAATCTGGGCAGCAGCTAGTTTGGCAACCCGATCCGGCCAGTCGTTTCCTTTGGCTACAAACCACTCCCTCGAGCCAGCCTCCAGGGTCGAGAGATCCTGGTGAGCCTTTACTTTGGCTATCTCGAGGGACCTGAGACTGGCCTGGGCCCTGGCCAAGACAGACACTCCTGCATACATTTCTTTCCTACTGACCTCGGGGCTCTGGTGAACCGAGAGGATGCTTTTAAACATCGGTCCACGCTTTAGTGACTCTTGGGCAGGAGACGGCAGCCAGAAATCCTAAATGCTCGGCAGCGGGCGACGTGGGGGGAAGACTGGCCCCCACGGGCCCCGAGAGACAGGCAACTAGGTCGCCCTCGTCGTCGATTTTAACAACGGACCAGGCAGGGGCGTCAAAGACCGTAGGGCCAGGTTTAAAAACACTGCCGTCGTGGAGAACTTCACATTGCATGGCATCCACCTTGGGCTGTCCATCACGCGACCAACACAGTGCTTGGTCTAGTCCTAATCCTGGGGGCCTCAGAGCAATTGGTGCACGTCGAAACTGGAACCCCAACACGTACGGGAAACCTCTCCTCTGATCCCTGAGCTCCTCCACGTCCCCCTCCTAGGAGGAGGAGGAGGAGGCGGAGGAGGAGGAGGAGGAGGAGGAGGAGGAGGAGGAGGAGGAGGAGAACGAGGAGGAGGAGGAGGATTAGGGATGGAGGGAAGGAGGAGGTGGCGAGGTGGGGGCGGAGAGGGGGGTGGGGGTGGGAGGGGGGGGGTGGGGGGGGGCAGGGGGGTGGGGGGGGGGGGGGGGCGGTGTAGGGGGTGGGGGGCGGGGTGCGGTGCGGGGTTTCGGTGTGGGGATGGGAGGTGGGGGCGTGGGGGGGGCGTGGGCAGTCGCGTGGTAGGGGCGGCTGAGGGGCGGGGTGGCGGTGGCCCGGGTGGGGGCGGAGGGCGGGGGGGGGGGGGAGGGGGGCGGGGGGGGGTGGGGGGGGGTGGGGGGTGGGGGGGTGGGGTGGTGGCTGGTGGGGGGGCGGGGGGAGGGCGGGGGCGGGGGGGGTGGGGGTGTGGGGGGTGGTAGGCGGGGTAGAGGGGAGGGAGGTGCCCCCCCCCCCCCCCGCCCCCCCCCCCCCCCCCCCCCCCCCCCCCCCGCCCCCCCCCCCCCCCCCCCCACCCCCCCGTGGTGCTGGGGGAGGGTGGCGGGTGGAGTGAGGACGGCGGTGGGGGGGGGAGGAGGCGAGGGGGGGGGGGGAGGGGGAGGGGAGGGGGGACGGCGGGGGGGGGGGGGGGGGGGGGGGATGGGGGGGAGGGGAGGTGAGGGAGGGGGGGGGGGCGGAGCGAAGGCGGCGGAAAGGGGGAGGGGGCCGGGGAGGGAGGAGGCGGAGGAGGGGGAGGAGGAGGAGGAGGAGGAGGAGGAGGAGGAGGAGGAGTAGGAGGAGGAGGAGGAGGAGGAGGAGGAGGGAGCGAGGAGGAGGGAGGAGGAGCAAGGCAAGGGGCAGGAACCGGGCGAGGATGAGTTTTTCGGCAGGGGGGGGTACCCCCGAGGAGCGCTGCCAGGACTGCTGCGGGACGTGCGGGCCGCCGCGGCGTGCGCGGTCGAGGAAGCCGATGGGGGTGCTGTCGTCAAGGGGAAGGCCAAGGTTATGAGTGGGGCCATAGTCAAAAAATAGTCAGGGAACGGTTCTAAGTATTTTCTGTTGGTTTGGCTATTATTTGAGCATGCTTCGAATATTTATTGTTTTTCTTCCAAAGTCCGCCTGTAAAGGGACATGTCCGACCTAATGCCATGCTTTGAATGGGGCCGAGGGTCAGAGAGCGCCAGATCTGAGCTGGATCGAATCGCGAAATCGGATCGGGTCGCGAAATCGGATCGGATCGCCAGCGGATCGTCCCGAATCGTATCGAAATCGGATTGCCGCGCTTTCCCCCGCTCCGGCAGACCCCAGCCGATGCCTGTGAATCGAACCGAGTCGGATCGAATCGGAACCGCGGCCCCAGCGGGCGAATCAGATCGCATCGAATGGGATCGGAGGCAGCCGCCACCAAAAAGGGGACGTGAGGTGGTCAAACGCCTCACCGGTTAAGTCCACGAAGATGCGCAAAATCCCGCCATGCGCTTCGCAATGGGTCCGAAGTGTTTGCTTGACGCCAGGTGTGGTGCATCAGTTTCAGCTTGACCGGACAGGTTGGATGCGCCTTGACGTCCGTTTGGAGGGTTCTGCAGACGTGACCCCCCAGCCCTACTCAAGCCATGCTGCAGGGTAGACCCTGTTTCTCGTTTCCCGCTTCGCTGCGTGAAGCCTTCCCCGCTCGCCGCGCTCCCCCGCTCGCCGCGCTCCCCGCTCCCCCCCGCGCTCCCCCCCGCGCTCCCCCGCTCCCCGCGCTCCCCGCTGGACCCCCCTACCTGGCGCGCGGAGCGCGCCAGGGGCGGCGCCGGAGGCGCCGCCAGGGGGCCCCAGCGCCGATCCGAGAAATCCGCGCGGACCTCCGAGTTATTATGTTTATGCAATTTTCCGTTCCCCTAACATAGGAAGCGCAGGAAGTTCACGCACGACGTAAGACAAAACGTGCACTGGCCTGCAATCAGCAGGAAGAGGTGGAGGAAGAGGAGGGGGGCGGAGGAGAAGGAGGAGGAGGAGGAGGAGGAGGAGGAGGAGGAGGAGGAGGAGGAAGGAGGAGGAGGGAGGCGGAGGAGGGGATCAGGAGGGAGGATGAAGGGTAGGCGAGGGGAGGCAGGAAGGATGAGGAGGGGTGTGAGGACCAGGAAAGAGCCAGGAGGAGAAGGGGAGGGGAGGAGGGGGAGGAGGAGGAGGGGGAGGAGGAGGTAGGAGGAGGAGGAGGAGAGGAGGAGGGGAGGAAGGAGGAGGAGGAGGGGAGGGGTAGGGAGGGAGAGGAGGAGGAGGGGAGGAGGGGAGGAGGAGGAGAGTGGAGGAGGAGAGGGGGAGGAGGAGGAGGAGGAGGAGGTGGAGGAGGAGGGGAGGAGGAGGAGGAGGAGGAGGAGGAGGGGTGGAGGAGGAGGAGGGAGGAGGAGGAGGAGGGCGGGAGGGTGGAGGAGGTGGAGGGGAGGAGGTGGAGGAGGGGGAGGAGGAGGAGGAGGAGGGGGGGAGGAGGGAGGAGGAAGGAGGAGGAGGAGGGGCTGAGGTACGAGGAGCAGGAAGGAGGAGGAGGAGGAGGAGGAGGAGGAGGAGGAGGAGGAGGTCGGAGGAGGAGGAGGAGGGGAGGAGGTAGGAGGGAGGAGGAGGAGGAGGAGGATGCAGGAGGAGAGGAGGAGGAGGAGGAGGAGGAGGAGGGAGGAGGAGGAGGAGGGAGGGGAGGAGGAGGAGGAGGAGGAGGAGGAGGGGGAGGAGGAGGAGGAAGGAGGAGGAGGAGGAGGAGGAGGAGGAGGAGGAGATCAGCAGAGTCGTGCGCTGCCTCCGTGCCGTCGGGTCCGGCGAGGCGGCCGCACGTCGCGGCTGGCCTGTGGCGCAACCGCTCCGTCCAGCGGCGACGGGTATCGCGGTAGCCAGGGGGCCTGTGACGCACGTGCGCCGCTGGCTGCTCGACTCCACCGTTAGAGGAATAGGAGGCCACATGTGGCCCCCTAAGGAACGAACAATGACATAAACATAAAACTTGGAGGTCCTCTCTCCTCCTCCTCCTCCTCCTCCTCCTCCTCCTCTCCTCCTCACTTCCTACTCCTACTCCTCCTCCTCCTCCTCTCGTCCTCCTCCTCGTCCTCCGCCTTACGCCTTACGCTCATCCTCCTCCGCCTCCTCCTCCGGCCCGTCCTCCTACCTCTTCCTCCTCCGCCTCCTCCTCCTTCTCCTTCCTCTTCCTCCTCTCCTCCTCCTGTTCTCCTGATCCACCTCCTCTCTTCCCTCCTCACGTTCTCCTCCTCCTTCTCCTTCCCTCTTCCCCTTCCTCCCTTCCTTCTACGTCCTCCTCGTCCTCCTCCTCCTCCTCCTCCTCCTCCTTCTCCTCCTCCCCCTCCTGCGGGCCCTCAAGCGGTCTGTGGAGCGTGCGCCTGCACGCGCGGGCCCTGAGTTCCACGAGCACCGAGACGAGGAAGCACACGAGCAGAACAAGCGACCCGGCGCGCCAGCCTCACCCACGACGCCGCCGCGGCGGCGCGTAGCTCGGCCGCCCTGCCGGCGCGGTCCGCGTCCAGTGCGGTCCGAAGCCGCGGGTGGCCCAGTGGAGGGCCACGCTCAGCTCCCGGCTCCACCGGGCCGCGAGGTGCCTTTCGACGGTCTCCGCCGCGTCGTCACCTCGATCCAGCATCGGGGGCGGCCAAGAGGGGGGTGATGGCTGGGGGGGGGGATATCATGGCGGGGTCCATGATATGTCCCCAGATTTCCTGGCGCCGCTTCTTGCTTCAATGCGTCCCCGGCCCCCCCCCTGGGCCGCGCACATGCCGCCGGCCATGATTTGCCCCCCCTCTTGGACGCCCCCTGTTTGGCCGCTCCCGATTTTCGTCCGGCAGCCCCCCCCGGACGCAAGGGGCCTCCGTGCCTTCTGCCCTCCCCCCCCTCTCTTCCTCGTCCCCCTCGTCCCTCCTCCTCGCTGCTTTTTCCATCCATGGCCGTGGCCGCGGCCGCGACCGCGGCCGTGTCGGGTGGCGTGGATGGGGTCAGGGCTGGGGCTGTGGGGTAAGGGGGCAGTGATGGAGGAAGCGGACAGGAGACGGAGCTGGGGAAAGGGAGAGAGTCGCTCAGCCTGCGTGCAGCCTTCAGTCGGGCATGTCCCTCTACAGGAGGAATATTCAAAAGCAGTCAGAAATAGTCAGGGAACGATCTTTCTATCTTTTATTATCTTTTTTTTTGTTGTGTTGTTGCCTTCGATCATCAGCCTGTGGGAGGACATGCCCGACCTGACTCCAGCTCCGGAGCCGACCCGGCGCCCGCAGGACGGCCGTGCCGAGGAGGTGTGGCTGGTGCACGCGGGGATCCTGCACTGCCTCGCCCTGGACGCCGGCGGCGCGGACGGCTTCCTGGTGCCGCGACTCGCGGGGGCGCTGCCGCCCCCCGCGTGCCGCCGCCTGAGCTTGCTGTGCGCCGTGGCCGTCGCCTGCCGCTGGATGTTCGCCGCGGCGGCTGGCATCCTGACTGGGTAGTCGAAGGCCAGACTGTCAGACTGGATTGGGCCCCAAGGGCCAATCTGGCCTGGCCATGTTGGGTGATCTGGGTCATTCGCCAGACTGGACTCGCGCTGGCTCCCTCGCCAGATTGCCCCCGTTTGCCAGACTGGGCCTGCCAGATTGGCGCCAGATTGGCTTCGACTACCCAGCATGATGGGCCAATTTTCCACCACCTTGACCCCTGGGGCCAGACGCAGTCAGCGAGCGAGCGAGGCTCCTCTTCTTCCTCCTGCTCCCCCTCTCCTGCCTGTGGCAGTGGTGGCGGAAGAGCGGCCCATCGTATCATGGCATCAGGGCGGCTCGCGGCGTGGAGCTGCCGACCTCTTTCACGAAAGGCCCGCGGGGCCTCCGTGGGGGCTTCGGGAGCCTCATGGAGGCCTCCTGGGGCCTCCAGGGCCCTCTCGGAGGGCAGAACGGAGCCCGCCCGGGAGCTCCACGGACTTCAGGGGGCTTCCACCTGCACGTCTCAGGTGCTTTCGGCTGCTTCCAGTGCTTGCGGGAGCCTCCAGTCGGCGGCGGGTGGGAGCGAGGGGTGGAAGTGAGAAGGAGAAGGCCTTCTCAGAAGTCTCGGAAGCTCCCCGGCCTTCTGAGAAGATTTCTAAGCCTTCCCCGGAGACATAAACAAGCTCTCAGAAGGCGCGAGGGCTTCTGAGAAGTCCCGCCGCCTTCTAAGGCCTTCTCTAGGGAACGAACAATGACATAAACATAACAACTCGGAGGTCCGCGCGGATTTCTCGGATCGGCGCTGGGGCCCCCTGGCGGCGCCTCCGGTGCCGCCCCTGGCGCGCTCCGCGCGCCAGGTAGGGGGGTCGAGCGCCGATCCGAGAAATCCGCCTGGACCTCAGAGTTTTTATGTTTACGCCATTACTCGTTCCTCTCCTTCTCACTTCCCCCCCTCGCTCGCCGCCAATCCAGTGCTTGCGGGGAGCCTCCAGGAGCCCCCGAGGGCCTCCTGGGGCCTCCATGGAGTCTCTCCAAGGGGTCTCCAGGTGGGCCTGCGAGGGCTGCTTTTACGTCGGGCATGTCCCTCTTCAGGAGGAAGATTCAAAAATAGTCAAATAGGATGGGATGTTTAGTTTTTGTTTTGTTTTGTTGTTTCTCTCCGTTTTCCTTCCTAAATCCGCCCGACCTAAGGCTGCTTCCGTGGCGAGGCGGGTGGCTTCCTGCTGGAAGCTTTCAGAGCTTCTGGGTGCATCCAGGGATCGGCGTCACCCCAACACACTTCGGGGGCGGCCAAGAGGGGGGTAATGATTAGGGGTGTGTGGATATCATGGCGGGGGCCATGATGTTTCCTCAGATTTCATGGCGCCTCCTCTCATTTCAATACGTCCCCCCCCCCCTCCAGGCCGCGCACACGCCGCCGGCCATGATTTGCGCCCCCCCCCTCTTGGCCGCCCCCGATGGAAGCTTTCAGAGCTTCAAGGGTGCATCCAGGGATCGGCGTCACCCCAACATACTAATACTATGTGTGCGTCGCCCCCCCAGGGCGACGCGCGCACCGAGGCATTTTGTTGTATACGGGTCGTGGCGGGCGCTTTATGACCACACCGCTCGGAAAACGATACACTACAAGATGGGTATACTAGATGTTCGGGTCGGGCGCGCGCCTCCAAGAAGCATTTATAGTACTAGTATGTCTCTGTGCGTCCCCAGGGAGCCCGCGAGTGCTTCCCACAGGCCTCAGTGACCCCCCACTGGGCTTTCGTGCGGGGCCTCCCTGGGAGGTGGCGCAGCGGGACCCTGAGCCTGCGAGGCACGGCCCTCGTCGCGAGGAGGACGTCTAGGGCGGCTTGCATCGGGGGCCAACTGGAGGGTCCCTCCGCTGGGTACTCGGGAGCTCGTGGGGCCATTCCCCCCGCGGCCTTGGCATCGCTCGGGCGTGTGGATTCTGTCCTTGGCGAGGACCATCTGGGAGCTTCCTGGATCATCTTGCAGCAGAAACGCACACACACACGACGTCCGAGCGATGGCAGACCCGTGGCGAGGAGGGTGCCGCTCCCCCGGTGGCGGCCTGGAGGGAGTGCCCAGAGGGCGGCTCTGGGCTCAAGAGGCGGGGGTCGATGCAGACGGGGGTCAGCCAGAGCGCCCGATCTGGCCAGATCCTGCAGGGCCAGGGGCCGCATTGACCCGGGCTCGGGTGCGGGATCCTGCAGGATCTTGCGGGATCATTCGCAGTGCCCCGGGCTTGGGCGCAGGATCTCTTGCAGGGTCCTGTTGGATTTTGCAGGATCATTCGCGTTCACTCGGGCTTGGGTGCAGGAGCTTGCAGGAGATCGCAGGATTCTGCAAGGCCTGGCTGACCCGGGTCTGGACCGGCCCCGGGCAACAAATCCCCGAGCGCCGGCGCCGGCGGCAGCGCCGGGCCACAGCAAAGCGCCTGGCGGCGGCGGACCGCGAGCGTTTTCTTTTTTTTGTTTCTCTTCGCCAGGGGAACGTCAAGTCGGGCACGTCCCTCTACAAGAGGGATATTCGAGAATTGTCAATGAATCGTCTGGGGACGATTTTCCGATTACTCTTGGACCATTTTTGACCGCTTTTTTTTGGGGGGGGGGGGGGGCATTTTTGAGTTTCTCCTCAAATCCGCCTGTAAGGGGAAATGCCCGACCTAACGTTAGTTGCCCAGGCCCCTCCCCCCCTAACGCTAACGAGCGTACTGGGGGGGTGGTCGGGGGCCTGGACCCCCCCGTACATGCCGTGGTGCACACAGGCGATTGATGCGCTGGCGGCGCTGACGCACCCTGGCGGGTGCACGCCGCGGCCGCCATCACCGTTACCCTCCCGAACCTCCTCCCCATTCCCTCTTGGGTAACGCCCGTTACCCGGGAAAGGACGCAAAAGGTCACACTGGGATAAGTCGTTCCAGGGCGTTCCGGAACGCTTTGCAATTGCCGCGGGGGCCGATACAGCTTTCAGAACCTTTGGATCTCTCTCGAAAAAGAAACAACGCCATAAACATAAACTTTTGGTGCTCCGTGCGCATTTCTTGCATCTGCGCTGGGCCCCCCCCAGCGGCGCCTCCGGCGCCGCCCCTGGCGCGCTCCGCGCGCCAGGGAGGGGGGGGTCCAGCGCAAATCCAAGAAATCCGGGCGGAGCGCCCAAAGTTTATGTTTATGCCGGTCTTTCTTCTACTAGTATCAGAGATCCCTGATTCGTCCTGGCCCGATCTTTCGTCCCAGTCTTGACTCCGATCTTTCGTCCCAGTCTTGACTTCTTCCCGAGCCGAGGTGCGATACTCGTTCGACACTTTTTCGATACTCCTCTGGGTGCTGGAATTTCTTTCTGGGAAGTACGATGGGAGCAACATAAGCCTTGACTTCTTCCCGAGCCGAGGTACAGGCGCTGCCGGACGTGCTCGAGGTCGCGGAGCGGCGGCCGCCGGAGGGGCGTGCCCCTGGCGGCGCTGGCGGCGCAGCCTCGCAGAGGACGGGCGCCCGGCGCGGGCTTCCGCGTGAGCCCGTCGCCCTCTGAACAGGATTCGCTGTCGGCGTCGCGGGGGCTGTGGTTCCTTTGAGACACAAGCTCGCCGGCATGCAGCGGCCGCTGCCGGTGTTGGACAGCACTTGTCGTTGGGCATCGCACCCGTTTGCTTCGTACCCATTTCGGGCGTCCAATCTTGGGTTGACCCGAAAGGGGGTCCAGCGACAAGGGGGTGGTGCAATAGGTTTGGTGCAATAGACTTGTGGGGTTGCAATACATTTTGGGCGTGCAGTACATTCCAGGGCGCAAATGTATTGTTAGATTTTCGCGTGCGCTAGATTACTAGCAATACAATGCAATACGATTCTCTGGCGCAGTACATTTGCGATACAATTGCCCCAAATCTATTGCGCCACTCCCTTTCAGCTGGACCCCCTTTTGGGTCACCCAAACAATCCCACGGGCTCGACCTCGGCCGCCCCCCTCAACTCAGGCGATCGCAAACATGGATCAAGGGGGCGTGGATTCGCGACGTGTCCCGCTTCCATGGGACAGCGCGGGTTTCCGCCGCCGAGCGAGGCTGGACCGGCAGCATTTTGGTATTCAAAAATGATCAAATAGATAATGTGGGGACGATTTTGCGACGATTTTTGAAAATATTGTTGAAACAATTTGATGGTTTTCAGATTTTCGCCCGAGATCCGCCTGTAGGTGGACATGCCCGACCTAACACTTTGGGGACGGCGCCTCCCCCGATCCATGGATGTGGCGACCGCGCGCCAAATCCGTGGATTGCTAATCCATGTTCGCGCGCCCCCGATCAGCCACGTGCGCCTTGGTTCGAAGAAGAAAGACGCCATAAACATAAACTCTTGGCGCTCCGCGCGGATTTCTTGGATCCGCGCTGGGACCCCCCCCGCACTGGCTTTCGCGTGAGCCCGTCGCCCTCAGCCACGTGCGCCCCCCGGTGGCGCCTCCGGCGCCGCCCCTGGCGCGCTCCGCGCGCCAGGGAGGTGGGTCCAGCGCAGCTCCAGGAAATCCGCGCGGAGCGCTCAAAGTTTATGGCTATGGCGTTTTTTCTTCTTCTATCAACCACGTGCGCCTTGTTTTCTGGTCGCGTGTGTTGTTGATGGTGTTGTTCTTGGGTTCCCATTTCTAGAGAATAGTCATTGTTGACCCCCCTTGCCCCGTAGCCATTGAATTTTTCAATTCAAGTGCTTCTACAGGGACTCGCACTATGTTTCTCAAGGGAAAGTGAGGTTTCCCCAGACTGGGCCCCTGGCCTTTGGTTTAAAAATGTACAAACAACTATTACTCCCGCCTGATCATTTCCTCACAATTTATTTCAAAATCGTGCTCTCGGCGGGATTTCCTCACAATGTATGTAGGAATCGCGCTCTCGCGTGGGACATTGTCGCAATTTATTCAGACGCCGCGCCCTCGGCGTTCAGGAATCAAGCTCTCGCTCTGGTTTTGTCACGATTTACTTGGGAATCGGGATATCGGTCGAAACTTCCTCGCGATTCATGCAGGACGCACGCTTCAGCAACCCGTCTGCCCCTTGTTCCATCCTTCCATCCGTCCTCTCTTCCCCTGCCTTCTGGGCTGCACGAAATACACGCTGCAGGTAAGAAATATATACCCCTAAGGGGGTACGGTCGCAGACGAAGAGGACGGGTATCGAGGGTTTTGGATGTACGTGTTGAATGGCACGCGAGCAGATAAGAGCGAACAGTCTTAATTGATTGTTGTTGTTGCTGCTGTTCTTGTTGAACTGTCAGTCCCAAAATAGTCATTGTTGATCCCCCCCTCTGGTAACCAATGTGTTTTTCCGATTTGAGTGCTTCTCCCCGGGCTCGCACACTAGTCGCGGAATCGCTCGAGACTTCCTCGCGATTCATCCAGGATGCACGCTTCAGAAACCCGCCTGCTCGACCTTGCCGCCTGGGCCCGCTTTCCAGAATCACCGGCTAGGGTCTACCCGCCCGATCTGCCCGCCTGGTTTTGCCACGACTTTTCTGCTCGTAGCCCCCCTCCTGCTTCTCTCGTTCTCCATCCTCCTCCCTCCCTCTTGTCCCTTCCTTCCATCCGTCCTCTCTTCTCCTGCCTTCGGGGCTGCACGAAATACACGTTGCAGGTAAGAAACATCTTCCCCTAAGGGGGTACGATCGAGGTCGAAGAGGACGGGTATCGATGTTTCTGGATACACGTGTTGAATGGCACGCGAGCAGATGAGCGAACAGTCTTAATTGATTGTTGTTGTCGTTGTTGCTGCTGTTGTTGATGTTGGTGTCGTTGTCGTTGTCGTTGTTGTTGTTGGTGGTGTTGCTCATGTTGTTAGTGCTGTTGCTGTTGTCGTCGTCGTCGTTGTCGTTGTCGTTGTTGTTGATGCTGTTGCTGTTGTTGTCGTTGTTGTTGAACTCTCATTCTTGAAGAATAATTATTGTTGATCCCCCCCCACCGGTGCACATTGATTTTTTTCAATTGAAGTGCCACCCCTGGGGCTCGCACCTTGTTTTTTCTCAAGGAAAGTCTTCCTGCTCAAACTGTGCCCCTGCCCCCCGGGCTACAACAACAACGGCTCCCGCCTGAGACTTCCTCGATTTTTACTCAGGACCCCCGCTCCCGCCTGAGACTTCCGCGCAATTTACTCAGGAAAGGCGCTCCCGTCTGAGACTTCCTCGCAATGTAATCAAGACCCCCGCTCCCGCCTGAGACTTCCGTGCAATTTACGTGGGAACGGCGCTCCCGCCTGAGACTTCTTCGAATTTTACTCAGGACCCCCGCTCCTGCTTGACATTTCCGCGCAATTGACTCAGGAACGGCGCTCCCGCCTGAGACTTCCTCGCAATTTAGTGAGGACCCCCGCTCCCGCCTGAGACTTCCGTGCAATTTGCTCAGGAACGGCGCTCCCGCTTGAGACTTCCTCGCAACTTAGTCAGGGCCCCCGCTTCCCGCCCGAGATTTCCTCACAATGTACTCAGGACTGCGCTCTCGCGTGCGACGTCCTCACAAATTATTCTGGAATTGCGTTTCGGCGCTCAGGAACCACGCACGCGCCAAGGACGCCTTCACAACGTGGTATCTTCCCTCTTCCTTCGTCCTTCCCCCTCCCCTTCCTCCCACTCTCCCTCGTTCTTCCCCTCCTCCTCTTGCAGGGCCCGCGCCAATTCCAATGGCGGGCAGAGAGATGTACGCCCCCGAAGGATTGTCCGCCCGTTCCGGTTTGCCCGTACGTCTAAGCCCGCCGGCCCCAGCAAAGAGAAATAATCCCCCCGAAAGGGGTGTGATCGAAGACGAAGAGGGCGGGTATCGAGGGTGTAGGGTATACGTGTTGAATGACTCGCGGGCAAGTAAGAGCGTACAGCCTTAGAATGGTTGTTGTTGTTGTTGTTGTTGTTGTTGTTGTTGTTGTTTGCTGCTGCTGCTGCTGCTGCTGCTGTTGTGTTGTTGTTGTTGTTGAACATTATTTATTCTAAAGAATAATTATTGTTGGGCCCCCTGGTGCGCGCCCCCCCTGCGCCGCCTAGGCCGCAGCTACATTTTCATCATTTTCGTGAGGAAGCCTCAGAAAAGAGGGTGTGTACAGGATCCGGTTGTTTTGTTGTAATCCGCTTTCCCTTGCAAAAAACAATAGAAAATGACATTTCTTGTTCTAATATAATCAAATTTCAAGAATCCCTTGCAAAAAATAAGGTAAAGTGGACATTCGCGCGCGCAAGACGAAATCCTTCCAAAACTTAGTGTTCGGAGCGATTTTAACATAAAAACATCAAAAAACCAATGGTTTTTCAACAAAAAAATGTCAAAATCTCATCCCGCGCGCTCTTGCGGATTCGTAGGAAACCCAACACTTTTTAAACATTTCTGTCAAACGGGCTTTTGCGAGCAACTTTTTCGAACTTCTGCGACAACGGTTGCGCACCTGCCAGGGCCATCATCCCTGTCAAATAATACCATGCGGGACACATTCGTTTTTTCTTCGCGCGCGCACGCCGTCGTCGTCGGCCGCGGGGCCCTGAATAGTAGCCACGGTCGTCCGCATGCCACGAAGTGAAGTGTCCGAACGTCATAGGGCGGGAAGCTGGGTGTGGGTGGTGGCGAAGAGTCGTTTGGAAATTTGGTAGAGCTTGAACCGGCCCCCCCACAAAGTGGGGGTATTGCCCGCCTCCTATGAAAACCCTGGCACTGGTGAGAACGGAGTGTCCCCACGTGCTAGTAATTGTTGTTGTTGTTGTTGTTGTTGTTGTTGTTGTTGTTGTTGTTGTTGTTGTTGACGAAACCACTAGCTGGCGGACCGGCCTCCCCCCCCCCCCCCCCCCCCGCGCAACGCAGCGCAACGCAACGCAACGCTCTCCCCGCGCGCCCCCCCGCGGGGCGTACAGGGACCCGTACAGGGTTCTATAGGGCTCCCACAGGACCCCTACAGGGTTCCATAGGATTCCTATAGGACCCCTACACGGTTCCATAGGATTCCTATAGGACCCGTACAGGGTTCCATTGGACTTTTGTAGGAGCCGCACAGGGTTGGATCGGACCCCCATAGGACCCCTACAGGGTTCCATCGGATTCCCATAGGACCCGTGTAGGGTTCCATTGGACTCCTATAGGACCCCTACAGGGTTCCATGGGACTCCCATAGGACCCCTACAGGGTTTCATAGGACTCCCATACGACCCAGACAGGGTTCCTGAAGACTCCCATGGAACCCCGACAGGGTTCCATAGGACTCCCATAGGACCCCTACAGGGCTTCATAGGACTCCCATAGGACCCCTACAGGGATCCATCGGGTTCCCATAGGACCCGGACAGGGTTCCATCGGGTTCCCATAGGACCCGGACAGGGTTCCATGGGACCCCCATAGGACCCGTACAGGGTTCCATCGGACTCCCATACGACCCCTACAGGGTTCCATCGGATTCTCATAGGACCCGTACAGGGTTCCATCGGACTCCCATAGGACCCCTACAGGGATCCATCGGGTGCCCATAGGACCCGTACAG